AAATAACCAGAAGAAAGTATTCAACTCACAGATTTATGGAAAAGGTGAAAGGCATCTTGAGAATTCCTGCAAAAGTAAATAGCTATTAGTAGTTTTACAAAATGGGATAATAGATAAAGTAGCCATTGAAATGAAGGAGATTTATGTCATTATTCCTGGGTATTGATGAGCTAATGTACCCGTGGTTTTGAAACTCGACCTGATTTTCCCGGAACTGCGTTGGGCTCGATTTTAGGTCTGTGTCTGTTTCGCCGGATTTTTCTCCAAGGATAACTGTACGACCGCGCCTTATAAGGGCTCGGGGCAAGAAAAGGACCAAAAGCTTACGTTATTCCTCTTGCCTGGACCTTTTTCTTTCTTTCTTTCTTTCTTTCTTTCTTCCTCCCCTCTTTTTTTTAATTCATATTTTTCTCTTAAAAAATAAAAAAATCTCTTTCTCCGTATTTTCTCCTTCGTTTTTCCTTTTTTTTGTCTCTTTGGATATACTTTGCATTTATCTTATGTAAACGTTTTACTCACCTCCTCTTCCTCCCCATCATCACCATCATCATCACCAACATCATTATTATCACCATCATTATTATCATCACCATCATCATTATCATCACCATCATCATCATCATCATCATCATCATCATTATCATCATTATCATCACCACCACCACCACCACCACCACCACCTTCACCACCAACACCATCATCATCATCATCATCATCATCATCATCATCATTCTTCCCCTTCCTTTCTCCTCCTTTCTCTTTCTCCTTGTTCCTCCATCCATTTCTTCCCGTTTACCTCTTCATACATACATACATACTGACACATGCATACATACGTACATAAATATCTGTAGAAATACATATAAATATATATATATGTGTGTGTGTGTGTGTGTGTGTGTGTGTGTGTAAGACAACATGTAGTTATTTGAATCCAATAAGTCTCGAATTCGGTTCGTGGGCGTCAACATCAGCTGCACATAAATAATTGTATTATTGTTTTATTATTATTATTATTATTGTTTATTTATCATATATTTATTTATTTATTTATTTATTTTTGCTAATTGATTTCACTCAGTGGAGATTTTCAGCTCATCTTGTGATTTCGCAGTCTGTCTAAAACGGATGTAGTGGAGGAATTTATTAGATTCAATAATTTTAGATCTGTTGTCAGTTCCTGATGAGAGACAGGCAGACAGACAGGCAGAGACACACAGGAAGACAGACAGTCAGTTAGGCAGACATACAGAGACAGACAGGAAGACAGACAGGCAGTTAGGCAGACAGACAGACAGACAAATAAATAAAGAAACAAAAAGCAAATGAGGAAGACTAGAGGTGGCCGACACAAAGAAAAGGAAAATGTCGAACATCTGGAGTGACCTGCGTCCGAACGAGAGTCCATCGGCGATATAAAATCCTCTCTCTTATCAGTTCATTCTATCGAATCTCCTCTGCCCTAGTCACTATCTTTCAATTATATGATTAAGTGGAAATATCCGCCGACATGGACGCAGAAGAGAGAGTAATAGGAGATGGAAGAAGAGGAGAGAGGAGAGGCAGAAAGGAGGAAGGGAAGGAGAGTGAGATGGACAGAGAAGGGAGGCACGGTTTTGGGTATGTGTGTGTGTGTGTGTGTGTGTGTGTGTGTGTGTGTGTGTGTGTGTAAGACAACATGTAGTTATTTGAATCCAATAAGTCTCGAATTCGGTTCGTGGGCGTCAACATCAGCTGCACATTTATAATTGTATTATTGTTTTATTATTATTATTATTATTATTATTATTATTATTATTATTATTATTATTATTATTATTATTATTATTATTATTATTATTATTATTATTATTATTATTATTATTATTATTATTATTATTATTATTATTATTATTATTATTATTATTATTATTATTATTATTATTATTATTATTATTATTATTATTATTATTATTATTATTATTATTATTATTATTATTATTATTATTATTATTATTATTATTATTATTATTATTATTATTATTATTATTATTATTATTATTATTATTATTATTATTATTATTATTATTATTATTATTATTATTATTATTATTATTATTATTATTATTATTATTATTATTATTATTATTATTATTATTATTATTATTATTATTATTATTATTATTATTGTTTATTTATCCATATATTTATTTATTTATTTATTTATTTATTTATTTATTTATTTATTTATTTATTTATTTATTTATTTATTTATTTATTTATTTATTTATTTATTTATTTATTTATTTATTTATTTATTTATTTATTTATTTATTTATTTATTTATTTATTTATTTATTTATTTATTTATTTATTTATTTATTTATTTATTTATTTATTTATTTATTTATTTATTTATTTATTTATTTATTTATTTATTTATTTATTTATTTATTTATTTATTTATTTATTTATTTATTTATTTATTTATTTATTTATTTATTTATTTATTTATTTATTTATTTATTTATTTATTTATTTATTTATTTATTTATCTATTTATTTATTGATTTATTGG